CTGATCATTGACGCGAAGATAATCAATTCACACATTGAATATTCACCGTTGGAACTAATTTCCTATCTCTCCTTAATTGTAATTAATCAGGAAACAAGCGATCCTAATTAATCTTACCCCTAAACAACCCTAGACAAGCGCTCAAGATTTAATCTAGTGGCAGCCTTAAGAATTAGAGAGATCGATGAAGCTAAACAACACAAACACAAGCGGTTGTATTTAATTTAGTTGAATGTTCTTCGTAAGGTTATTAATTCCTGACGCAGCAAATTACTAACCCTAATTGCTTCGCAAGTTGGAGGGATCAAACAATTACGGATTTGATATCTAACTTAGCAGTAGATTGCGACAATTAATAAACTAGTAGGCCTCCCTAGTAATTAAATGAAACAATCATAAAATTAGGCATAGAAAAACATCCAATACTCAAACACGAAAATTGAACACAAAGAAAATTATATTAGATCTCACAGTTTATCGATTCCGAGGCTTCCGTTTACTTCGACCAAGTTATCAAAATCAGCCTCTCATGGCCATCACCGAATTACAGAGGAAAAGTTCAGAGAAGACCAGAGAGAGGCGTGTGTCCACCAAAAAAAAACTAATCTGATCTCTCCTCCCAAAAATCTAATTCAAGTGTTTGAATCCAACTCAATCTCCTAAAATCAATTATCCTAATCTGATTCTAATTAATTGAAAATACAATAAAGTCTTAAAAATAAAAATAGGAAAGTGATGTGTCCAGCTGTAACTCGTGTGCCACATGTCTTCAAATCTTCCAATAATAAACTGCCTCTTGGACTTGCATTACAAGGCAGAATGTTCCAGAACATCGGCAGTGCAGATGCGTCAACTTCAAGCCCAATTACAACCTTGATGCAGCAAGTATCTCTCCAAACTCAAAACATAAAAGTTGTAGATATATTTCTTAGCGTTCTACAGCATTTTGAATCATCTCAATCGGAGCTCAGATGAGAGAGTTATGCCCAAAATACGAAACAACGTCAAAACTGTCCGAATTCACTTAATTAGTTCCGTTTTGCAATTAACGCTCCCATTTGCTTCCTAAGTCAAAATAGAATAAAAATCAGTACATTTTAGGCAGCAAATAGGTATAAAAGACTAGCCATTAAGGGGGGTAAATATGACATTTTGCATTCTCATCAGCAATCGTTTATGAAAAACCCTTTGTCGCTTAGGCGATATACTTAGTCGTTTAAGCAATCATAGGCAGTACATACTTTTCCATCTTTTCTCCTGAATTTTGACAAACTAAAATTACCAACACATATTAATTCCATACTTTCTCCTCAATTTGACAACCTAATTCCAAATTAAAATCATGAACACATATTTAGGCCATGTAGCAAGAATACCAAACATAAAGAATGATTTATTCAAGGTAACAATAAAATTTAAAATATCAATAATTGAAAACAATAACTCATCGACGGTTGGCCTTGGCAACTCCCTGAATTTCATCCTTATTTGAACCTAATTTTCTTGATCTGCATGTGATTACTTCTAGCAACTACTTCTCTTGTGGTCAGGTTGCTTGCAAATTGAGCACTTATTCATCTTCCGGGGAACCTCAGAGGCTGATGGAATACGCTTAACTCTTTTTCTCTCCTTTGTTGTCTTCTTGAATGGCAGATGGATGATAATGTTAGCCAACTCTGGTGGCACTATCCACTGCTCTTCTGGAGGCATTAGATATATTGTTTCTGAATAAGCGAGCATGTAGTGATTTGCCATATAGAGAGGGGAGCAAAGTTCTATGTAAATTCTTGAACCAAAATCTGGCTTCTATTGGTGTTTCAGTGCTGTTAGTGCATGAGGACAAGGTAAACGTTGAATGTCAAGCACTTTACAGTTGCAAGTTTTACTAACAAGGTTAACTAGGGCATCCAGACCACGCACACAGTGAACTCTTGAGCATTAAGAGGATAGGCAAACAGTGCATTTGACAATTCCATACGTTCTCGCAATAATTTTTCAGCTGACGGAATAAGGGTTGTAGTAAAATTATCTGACTCCGTACAATGCTCATGGAACACCGTGACAATGTCCTTTGGATTGCATCAAAAAGTGCAACTATTGGAAACTCTCTTTCTATTAACAACTTCGAATTTATGGACTCAGCTATGTTCGTGGTCATGACATCAAACCTTCTTCTAGGAAAGTAAGCTCTATTCCATCACTCGAAACCAACATCATGCTGAAGATACTTTGCAACTCTATCATCCTTGATTCGGATTTGTTGGAAGTGCTCCTCAAACTCATCAACCCGATAAGCTTTTGCTGCCATGTAGTATGTCTGAAGGAGGCCAGCACACTTAAACTTTTGTTTTATATTCTCACCAAGGTGCCTCATACAGAATCTGTGATGTACTTGAGGGTAAATAGTGGCAATCCTCTTTTTTATAGAGTTGTGCCTATCGGATATTATGCATAACTCGTCACTGTTGGGCACTATTGTACGTAATTGCAGAAAAAACCAAGTCCACGACTTGTCATTCTCAGAGTCAACCACACAGCATGCAACAGGATATGTGTGATTCTTGCTGTTTTGTGCAGTGGCCACCAACAATGTACCTTCATACTTTTACGTCAAAAAGCAACCATCAACAATCAACACCTTTCTCATGTTTACAAAACCCCTTATAGTAGAATCGTAAGCAACAAAAAAATATTTAAACATCATATTCCTGTCCCACTTCAAAGTTGTCTTGCTACCTTAGTTTGTCAACTCAAGCATATAACGATACGCCTCTAATACTGCGTACCCGTGCTCCGGCATGCCCCTCACAAAATCTTGTGCATGTTGTCTCCCTTTTTAGCATTTCCAGTAACTAACAGCACATCCTAACTCTGTGCGCACAAGTCTCTGAATGTCTTTAGGAGATGGACCTTTCCCTTCAACGAACTGACTTTTGACAAATTGTCCAATCACGTTAGCGGAGGCTTGTCGATGCTCACCTGAAATATGTCCCAAACCACATGTGTGCTCACGGGTATATGTGCTAAGAATAAATTTTTCGGACTCCGCCAACCTTCTACAATAAACTTGCCACTTGCACTTTCGATCACGACATGCAACCGTCACAACCAATGAATTTGAATTTTTAGTGATGAACTCAAAATTACCTCTCACGGCAACAAGTTTTAGCTTCCTCACCACTTCCTCTTTGTTGTCAAATAAATACCCTATACGCAACTCCGATCCATCTATAAAAAAATAAGTTGATTCACTATTACCTGCAATTGCCCCCTCTGAACCTGCATAAACGACCATAGTGTTCTCTTCCTCACAAACCACACCTTCTACATAATCTGTATTTAAAGAAATCTCTACATCTACGGGAACATGTATGGGGTCCTCCTCCTCAACATTTTCATTCTGCCGCCCATGACCAACCTCTTCTACAGTGTCCTCCTCACCACCCAATTCACTGTTTACTCTTGATTTTTCAACTAACAGATCAATGTCCTCATAGTTCAAATTAAAACGAAGCAAATCTCCGCCAACTTCCTCGTTATCCCCTTCTTTTGAACCAACTTCCAATGGTTTTTCTACAAAATAAACCCTTAAAATCGACCTCAAACCATTATCGACCACATCAATCATATATAACTTCACACTTTCATTTGATTTTAATATAGCAGGAGGTACATTATAATGTTCAGGAACTCTGCTTAAAACATACTTCATAACTATATCACTATATGAGCAACTCAAATCACCTCTTCTAATTATTTCATCAATCAACTCATCAAAACTAACCTCTGTGGTCACAGCAATTGGTATAACTTCTTTGCTCTTCCCAATCCACTTCCAGCTACTTTCTTCCTCCACCCACTTGATAATCTTAGGATTATACTATTTTATCTAGGCTTTTTGGCCAGATTTTGGATACTTCTTCTTTCTTTTGTGCCTGAAATGCAACTTAATTTCATTTATTTTATGTTTCAGGCCAAAACATGCAGTTAGAGCAAATACTGAGTGGAATTGAGTTTCTGGACCCATAAGCAAGTGAATCTCAGGATTTGGGGAAGTTTTGAAGCGGATTTGAAGTACTATGAAGCTTGTTCCTATTAGAGAGCACCAAAGATTGAAGATTGAAGTAAGGACGCAAGCGGAGGGCAGTTTCATAATTTTAGAATTGTTCAGAAAAGTTCGCTATGGCGATAAATCCAAAAATCTTTCGGTTTCTCCGATTCCATAAACAACTAAGAAAATCAGTGCTTAACAAGGAATCCTTATGGGAACGATACTCTACTTATCATTTTATTACTTTTTGCGACTAGTGCACTTGCTACACATTGCATGTTGTAATTTTCAACACATCAAGTTTTTGGCGCCGTTGCCGGGGATTGATTTTGTGTTAACACTGAACTTTTCTTGTTTTAGCTATATTGGAGTTTAATTTTAGTTTTAATTGTTTTCTAGTTTAATTTTGATGTTCTTTTCTATTAGCTTGTGATCTCATGCCTTGTTTCTTTCTTTGTAGTTTATGCGAAAAGCTAGACGTCATCTAGTGGGTCCTATCGATCCAGAGATTGAAAGAACCGCGAGAAGACTTAACAAAGAAAGAAGAGAATGAGAAGTGATAGTCATTGAGATGGCGAAAAATAGAACATTAAGGGAATTTTTAGTACCCACAGTTGATGGTAGTGGTCCAAGTATAACTCGGCCACCAGTGCAAGCCAACAACTTTGAAATAAAGCCGGCAATCATCCAGATGATCCAACAGTTGGTTCAGTTTAAGGGAGATCTAAAGGAAAATCCAAATTCACACATTGCAAACTTCTTAGAAATCTGCAATACCTTAAAATCAAATAGAGTGTCAGATGATGCCATCAGATTAAGATTGTTTCCTTTTTCATTAAGGGATAAAGCAAAGGGATGGTTATTGGCACTATCACCAGGAACAATCACAACCTGGAATGAATTGGCACAGAAGTTCCTGACTAAATACTTCCCTCCAGCGAAATCTACAAAGATGAGAAATGATATCACATCGTTTCTATAGGAAAAGACTAATCATTGTATGAAGCATGGGAAAGATATAAGGAACTGTTGAGAAAGTGTCCATACCATGGGTTGCCAGTTTGGATGCAAGTCCAAACGTTCTATAATGGGTTGATGGTTAATATGTAAACGATGATGGATGTAGCATCTGGAGGAGCATTGCAAAACAAGACACCTGAAGAAGCTTATGAGTTGTTTGAAGTCCTGGCAAGTAACAACTATTAGAGACCCAATGAGAGAATGCCGATGAAGAATTCTATGGATATTCATGAAGTTGATGCTTACACAGCCATTTCAGCCCAATTTACAGCATTTCAAAAGCAATTAGGAGGTATGCAAGGGAATTCTATTCAAACACCTCAACTGACATGTGATTTTTGTGCAGGTAACCATGCGAGCAATGATTTTCAAGTGGGGTAACACCTTTGCTTCAGCTTCATCATCATCAGAACAAGTCAACTATTTGGCAGGGAATCAAAGACAACAGAATAATCCTTTCTCAACTCGTACAATCCTGGTTGGAGAAATCATCCAAACTTGTCTTGGGGTAATCAAAATCAGCAGAATAACCAATGGAATCAAAGAACAGTGCCAAACAATCGAGTGGGGGTGAATAATCAACTAGGGGATCAACGATTGTCAAAATTGGAGGATATGTTCGGGAAATTCATTCAAGAGACCATAGGTTTCATGAGTGAGATAAAGGCAAATTTCAGAAACCAAGGGGCATCCATCCGAAACTTGGAGGTACAGGTGGGGAATTTGTAGAAAAATTGAATGAGCGGCTATAGGGTTCCTTACCAAGCAACACAATGACAAATCCACCTGAACAAGTGAATGCAATAACTCTACGGAGTGGAACAATCTTGGAAGGGGTGGAACAAGCAGGGAAAGAAGAGAGCCCACCAAAAGACAAGGAAGATTCTGATGAGGAAGTTGACGAAGAGGTCATTATTGAAGAGAATCCAACAAGTCCCAAGGAAGAGGAACTAAAAAGGGAAGAGAGGTTGTGGTTCACTCATTGAGTGAGACAACTTGAATCCCTCCACTTGCTATCCATTGGTTATCTTCTCTCCCATTGGCTCATTTGGATTTTTGAGATTTCTTCTTATCCACTTTCTCTTTGGATTGGTTAATAGGCTGTTTCATACGTTTTTTGGCCACCTCACTTGTTTTTCATTGGTTCCCCTTTGATTTCCTTATCTCTTGTCTCTTTGACTTCAAATTACGACAACTCACCAACCAATCATCCATCTCTCCCCTCCACCTCATCAATCTCAAGCTGACTCATCTTGCCATGTCCCCCAAGATGCCACGTCAGCCTGCCACGTCACCAGCCCTGCCATATCACCAAAAAAAAAAAAAAAATTCCTGCCACTTTCCAAACCTTCCCAAAGCCATACTTTACCTCCCAATGATCTATTTCTTGTGAATTCTTTGAATACAAGTGAGGCAAAGAGTTCTGGTGAGGTGCTTAAGAGGCAGCAAGCTGGGGGTGGAAGAGTGATTGATAGGGTTGGCGTGGAAATTTGTGATGGGAATGTGCTGGTTGATTCAAAGGTGTCTCCAATTATTATGCATGGCGAGAAAGAGGTGAGTGGAGGCGAGACTTTTGGGGAAAAGGTGAATGGGGAATTAAAGCCAGTTGGTATTGCATCCTAGAGAAAACTTTTTGTTTCGAAATCTAGTGCTCCAATGGAATATTTTGCACCGGAAGTCCTTGATGATGGGAGGAGGATAAGGGTTATACTGCCTAAAGAGGTTGCTGATTTGGGGAAGGATAAATGGGGAAATTACCTCATTGGTTTCTTCCTTGGCAGAAGGTTGCCATTCTCTCTTGTGAAGGGTTTTATCGATAGGAATTGGAAGTGCTTCTGCAAGGTTGGTGTTGTCTCAAATGGGTTTGGGGGCTTTATTCTGAAATTTGATAATGAGAGCTCTAGGGATGAGGCCTTGGAAGGGGGCCCTTGGCATATTGGGGGGCAGCCCCTTTTCCTCAAAAAATGGCGTCCGAATTTAAAGATGGCAGGTGAAGGCATTTGTAGTGTGCCGATTTGGGACAAATTTAGTGGAGTTCCATTGGAGTTTTGGACTGCTAAAGGGTTAAGCTATGTTGCGAGTGCGATTGGAAAACCTCTCTACATGGATAACATCACGCATGCAGGAGATAGATTGGAGTATGCAAGAGTTTGTGTTGAAATTGACACAGCTTCTTCATTCCCGAATTCAGTGGAACTAGGCCTCCTGAATGGTGATTATGTGAACATAGGGGTGGAGTATTCTTGGAAATCGAGGGCCTACCCTTTGTGTAGAACTTTTGGGCACAATTTGAAGGAATGTCATTTGGCCCCTAGAATTGATAAGGAAAGCGCCGAGAACAAGAACTTGAATCTTACTCAAGAATGGCGAGTGCTGACCAAGAGGAAGGAGAATGTGTCAAAGGACGTGGTTACGTAAGCGGAGAATGTGGGCGAGAGCCCTAGCCACAAAAAAGAGCAGCCTATTGATGAGTCGAGAGACACGGTTAGTAAACAAAACTCTCCACTAATCCATTTGTTGTTCTTTGTTCGGGAAACAGGCTGGATAATGGGGAACTTGATGGCGAAGAGGGTAGTGAAAATGTTGAAGATAGGTTTGGGAAGGATAGGATGAAATGGTGGGATAATCCCTAGCAGGGCTGATCTTAACAGGGTTTATAATCGAGGTGCTTGTGTATGATAGGGATAATTTGTTAAGGGGAATGAATATGGGGTGAGTGTTCCTAACATAGAAGAGAGGAGATTGAAAGTAAGCAAAAGATTGAATGCTTTGAGTGCTGGTGACAACACCGGAGAAGTAACCCCACCTAGGGGTCCCTTGGTGGAAAACCACGAGGGATGTGAAATGGGGTCTACTTCACCGGCTATTTGAGTTCGAAAATTTGATTCGAGTTGATGAAATGGAGGGTCTTACGAGGGGAATAAGTCTTTCTAAAAGCCAAAGAGGAAATTAGCCAGGAAGGCAAGAGAAGTTCCTAACGCCTAGCTGTCCCCTGATTACTTGCTTCGTGGAATAAGGGGTCTTAATCCCCTTTGAAACAAAAAGAGGTTAGACATCTAATCTCTTCCAATAAAATTGCAATTTGTAGTATTTTGGAAACTAGAGTTTTTGAACCAAATTTTGAGGTTACTGTCCTTGACTTTTGGGGGATGGGATGTAATCTATAACTATGTGTGCTGCCCTAATGGTAGAAATTGGTTGTTGTTGAATCCTAGTTTGGTGAGGTTTGAAATCATACAATCTACGAATCAAGCCATCCATGGTAAGGTTGTTATTTTGGAGTCTAATTACTCCTTTGTTTGCTCATTTGTCTATGGCTCTAATGGTCCGCTGGAAAGGAAAGAATTATGGAGAGACTTAATGGTAAAGCTCAAGATTTTGAGGAAATACCATGGGTTTATGGGTATTTTAATGCAATGAGATTTGGGCATGAGAAAATAGGGGGTTCTTAGGTGGAGAAATTACGTTTCGACTTGAATAATATGTGTAATGAGACTAGGCTTGAGGACCTTTGGTTTATGGGTAACTTTTTCACGTGGTAATATAGAGAAGGGGAACATGATTACCACTAAGATTGACGAGCTCTTTGATGATGAAAAGTGGGCAGTGTGTTTGGTAATTCCATACCAATTTCCTTCCCCCAAGCATCTTATCATTCTCCTTGTATTTTTGAATGTGGGGTTATGTCTTCATTTAGAAAATCCCATTTCGGTTCTTCAACTTTTGGGCTCACCATGAAAGTTTCATTAGCATTGTAGTAAGGCTTGGGAAGAAGAAGTTAGGGGTACCCCTAGTATCAATTGGTTACTAAACTGAAGAGAGTCAAACCACATTAAAAGTGTTTAACAAGAGGGAGTTTGGGAATATCTCGGCAAGAGTTATTGAAGCTAGAGAAAACCTTCTAAGGGTCCAGCATTCCTTGCTTCTAATCCTCTTGAAGAGAACCTTATTCTTGAGGAAAGCCAAAGCTTTTAATTTTAATTCTTTAAGTCGAGCTGAGGAGTCTTTAGCTAGGCAAAAATCTAGAGTGCAATGGCTTAGAGAGGGTGACCAGAACACAAGCTATTTCTTCAAGTGTGGTAATGGCAGAAGAATAAAATAGAATCACCAAGCTTAAGTGTGATAAGGCATGGTTATTGAGACCCTTTGAGCATTAGGAGGAAATTGTCAGCCACTTTGAAAGAGTTTTTGAAGAGCCGAGGGGTTGGAGAACTTCTGGGGTTTAGAGGAATTATTGAACCTTGCATCACTAGTGATATGGCTAATGGGAGATGTTGCCAAAGTGACGGAGGAGGAATCAAGAACACTCTGTTTCGTTGCAACAACAAAGCTCCTGGACCAGATGGTTTTGGTGCTTATTTCTTCAAGAAATCTGGGATGTGGTGGGAAAAGATGTGATTATGGCTATTAAAGACTTCTTCCAAGAGGGCAAGCTTCTCAGGGAGGTAAATTGTACTTCAATTGCTCTTATTCCCAAGTGTGATAATGCTTCTTTGTGTAAGGACTATCAGCCCATTTCTTGCTGCAACATAATTTATAAATGTATCACCAAGATCTGCAAATAGTTAAGAGTGCTTTACCTCTCTTATTGACCCCACAAGCAGCCTTTGTTGGTGATAGGAGAATAGGAGATAATATCCTTTTATGCCAAGGTTGGTGCACACTATAATCGAGCTACGGCCAAGGAAAAAAGGTGTGCCTTGAAAGTTGATTTAATGAAGGCTTATGACTCAGTTAATTGGCAGTTTCTCTTACAAGTCCTAAAGATTTGGTTTCCCTAGTGTTCTTGTCAATTGGATATCCAAATGCATCACTACTCCTAATCTCGGTGGTTATCAATGGGGAGTTAGTGGTTTCTTTGGGAGCTCTAAGGGCTGAGACAAGGATCCCTTATCCCCTTACTTGTTTGTTATTGCTATAGAGTTCTCTCTCAGCTCTTGAATAGAGTGGCGGCTAATCCGAACTTTAGTTTTCATTGGAGATGCAAGAAAATGGGGCTGACTCATCTTTGTTTCGTGGATGATCTCATGCTTTT